CATGTTGAAGCTCCTTTAAAGTTTGCTGCACAACATTTAAACAAGCCTGTGTAATACTGGGAGAATATAGTCTGGTCAGATGAGACCAGCATTGAACTGTTTGGATGCCGTTTTCAATACTTATTTTACCTGCTGTACTCTGCTATGACCAACATTAAATACATCTTAGTTGTGTTTTTGATTTTCCTCCTTGATATTCTTGTCTTTTAAATATTGCTATTATCTACAATGTGACTATTTATAATAATGTTTGACAGTATTAAAAAATAATAATGCATGCGTATGCCCCGTATTCATTTCTGTACAATAAAATACAGCACTGAGATGCAGATGGCTCTGCAGCTCTTTAGTTGGTGTTCTCCTTTGTTGTGATGGTAACAAGCTGCTTGGCGGCTTTGGCGATGTCATAAGCACATTGGATGACCTGCTGGGTGACCAGCTGCATGTCCGGTCCCGAGCCGCTCTCCGATGGGACGGCCTTCCGGCACTCGTTCTGGAGGCGGCATGCGCTGAAGGTCAACAAGCGCAGAGCGTTTCTCACCGTCTCTGAGCGAGGCTTCTGKGGAGGAGAGATCACTTAAACATGAAGCTGAACAATTCTCCTCAAGTTAAATCAACTCAAACAAACCTTTGGGAAGAGGGCAGCCATTTCTGTCACAGCCACATGTATTCTTTCTGAGCAGGGTATGAAGCTACGAGGGGAGAAGGTTTTCACATGAGTTCAACTTCAAGATTCGTTCAGATTATTAATTTCAAACAAATATGAAATCAAGTATTCACTGCAACCATGCATCATCGTCTTCAACTTGAAAAAAACAGCCATTTAACACACCCAAGTATCATCAACCTGAAAAAACTCTACTGTTTCGCAGTTATACTTTACCTTTCATGTATAAAACAAATTCTAAGTCAGTGATTAAATAGTCATTCAAAAACACACAGAAGCACATTCAGGAAAAAAAGAGAGAATTTGTTAGCAGGTGAGGCACACCAGGGTGAGGGAGAGGAAAAATAAAACTGTGCCTGGGAGGCAGGGACAGAAGCCAGAGTACCAGGAGGTGGGGTCAGGGGATCGGAGGCTGAGCGGCTGAAGGGGAGAGGAGGCCTTCTCAGCCCAGGGCACCAGAGTGCTGAAACATCCCAGGCTGTGCCTGAGCCGACGCACACCTTCACGCTCACATGGTCTGCTCGCAGGGGCCAAAGATGGAGAAACCAAAGTAACAGCAGAACATGGGCGGATGTCATACGAGGAGTGAATTTAACAGGAATAAAAGTGGAAATGAAAGGAGCATAAAAAAACTAATTATAACAGAATAATGATGAACTTGGGTTTGAAACTGCAGGAAGAGAAAACGAAAAATTTGATCCAAAGCTGAAAAAAGCAAAAGTGTTTTCCTCCTCAGGGGTCTGACCTGTCRTGTTTGTTATCCTGAGCAGCTCGCAGCAGCTCCTGAATGTTCTTGGTGATCTGCTCGGTTTTTCGGATGACGTCCTCAGTCCTGGGCAGCGTCGGGTCCGACTCCGACTCCAGATCGTCCAGCTCAGGGATGGAGCTGCCCTCTCCCAGCCAGCCGCCGCTCCTCAGCCTCCCTCTCTTGCAAAAACTGCAGAAAGAAGAAATAAGTCCCATTTAAGTTGTTCAACAATTTTAATTGACTACAGACTAAATAAGAGTTTAACTTCCATCTTTTAGCATAAGAAGCCCTTCTTACCCCAAGTCATCCATCTCAGAGTCATTAAACGTGTTGTCRTAATCACTTTCTGGCATGCTGCTTTGCTTTTCCAACTTTGAGGTCTGGAAGGAGGAGATRCAACAAAACAGCAAATAATGCTTAACAACTCCACCTGCGTTTTAATGTGTCACACTTTTAGTTTAATCCAACTAAAATGTGGTTCAAACATGAGCTTTTGTGAAGGACAGAAAAGCTCAGATGTCTGAATAAAACAAGCCAGTAAAGCTGAGGCCAGAGTGCATGRTTTATGGATATAAGACCAGGTATTAAAAAGGTATCAGTGTAACTGAAAGTAAACCTGTCTGATCATTCAGCTGATTTTGTTAACCGTTAAAAAAATAAATAAAAAGAAGTATAACTCATTTCATCTAACTGGGTAAAACCCTGGTGATTGGTTATTATATACAGGCAACAAAATAAAAAAAAGACAGCAGGAATCCTTCTTCTTCACATCAGGAAGGCATCTTCAAGGCTTCATTTGGAAATAAAAATCAGAGACYAACAAGCTTATTGTTCATGTTCACATACTTCAATCTCCACCTCCAAGAATCTACATTAAATCCTTGCAGGTGAGCGTTCTGCCTGCACAGGTGATCCATCGTTTCAAACAGCAAACGCCTCGCCGATCACCTCAGTGTTCGGCTTTTGTTTGAAGCAAAAGCGTTTTGTTAGAAAACGAAAAAGAACCTGAATGAGGTTAGCAGCCGACGAGGAGCAAATTTTATGTGTGCTTCTTTTTGTTTTATTTACAAGGCTTATTTTAGTAAAAAATAGGAAAAAAAATGTAAGTACCATCAACATATTTTCAGCTACATGTGTCTAGTGTGGAAAGAAGTTGTTAAAATCAGCAGCTGCTGCAGCACGGCGTCAGGTTGTGCATTAACAAAAAAAAAAAAAAACGACACGGTTTCACTTGCTGAGCAGTGCAGTGAGGATGATGCTGACGAAGGCAGCCAGAGGAAGGTCGGCTCATGCAGCGGGGCAGAGAGGAGCAGCAGGGGAACGTGGGACAGATCAAATCGGAGCAGATTTACTGTGTCCCACGGGACGCTGGCTAGATGTACTTAACCTGTAAACTGTCGTCCTTCGACCAAGACAGGGTGGATGGAAATGACGGAAGGGATGAGGAGGTCACAAAAGCACCCCTTTCTGTCTAAAGACAGGGTTCACATCACGTTTTAAAATGCAGTTTTACAGCAGCTGAAATGAGATGCAACATTTCACACGTCCTCCAAAGACAAATCAAAGTTTATTGGTGATGAGGATGAAGTTAATGTGAAGATGTGAATGTGAAATGTAGTGGAAAACAGTGCTGCTCCGACTTCGACTTTATGAGAAATCAATCCCATTTAAACAGAGAAAAGTTGTGTGCAGAGAATTAAAACCACTGCCTTTATGTCCTGAGCAACAAACTCATCGGAAAAATGAAAAAGCTGGCAGATAATTTCCTAACATGTTAGACAGAAATGTTCAAAAGGTTCACAATTAATGATGCAGTTTGTTAAACGGGGAGAGATGACAGGTGGATGTGTGGCATGCATTACAAAACACAACAGATTTGTATGGAAGTTTTAATGATTCATCAACATTAAACAGTACAAAACTTAAAAAAAATGATCATCATAACAGCACTTTTTTTGTTTTCACAGCTATGCAATTTAAAAAAAAGTAACATTAAAAACAAAAAGAGGGACAGAACGGAGATTCTATATAAAATAATCTTTGGCGTGACCTAAAATGACCCAGAAAAATTAGACTAATAAAAAAATTAAAAGAAAAAGGGAAACTTTGGCAGAGATGGTAAAGATATGAGGAAGAGACATGGAGACAGGGCAGAGGAGAGGAAGCTGCAAAGGAGAGCAGGGAACAGGTCTTACTTACATGAGGAGTGAAGGGTTGCAGGGTGGGGAGACCCTCCTCGGGGTAAGGAGTCTCCCCTTTGGGGAGATAGGGCTTCAGGCCTGAGCCGGTCTCATACATAGACATGGGCCGACTGGCCCGCGCAGACTGCCGGCGTTTCAGGGCTGAGGGGCTGGAGGGGTCGGGGTAGTCTGGACCGCTGGGGGTCTGATACATATTGGGTGTGACCTGCCGCCTGAGAGAGATGTTCTCACTTTGCAGAGATTGCAGCTGGAAGAGACGGTCAGCAAGACACTAAGAGGAGCTCTGAGCAAAGCAAGCTTTGGTCCCTGTCCTGACTCACTCTCTGCTCTGATCACACTGAAGTCAGATTCTTAATATTTTTAGCATGCATGAACAAGTTCACAACCAAAATTTAAATTTAACAATAACTGCAAACAAATTAGCTGATTTTAAGAATTTCAAAATCATTTTCTAATGTATGATTCAACAAACAAAATATTACCTGAGTTTTGTTTTCTGTATTAATCTACTTCATAGCATCAAACTGACTAATATGATCATCACTGATAGTGGAACGGCTACAAAACTGAGCAGTTACTAGCTGTAAAAACTAATCACAAAGGAGCAATTTCATTTGTCTGAACATGCAAAGCAAGTGATAAGCAAGCAAGAAACTAAGCAGTAAAGTAAAGCGAACTGTAGAAAGCAAATATAGAAGAGTAAAACCCTAAGAAAAATGAAACCATTTGCATTTAAAAAAGAAATCAGGGGAGTTTTGTTGTTGAAAATGGGGCTTCAGTAACCTCCACGTTTGATAAAGCTTCTGATTCCAGTTCCAGCTAACAAATTCAAAGAACTTGCTCTGAATCCTGCAGGTTTTCGGCATCACACTTTATCTAAACGTAAAAACTGAGAACTACAGTGTGTCGAGAACATGACAGAACAGTACATCCAAAACAAACAAAAAATATAATTATTTTTCCATCAAACAATCACATTAAATCAAGTTAGACTAAAGAAAACCACCCTGTTATAACTCTGAAATAGGTAGAAAATGTTTGACGCATTAAAAAACATTTGTTTCCAACTTGTTCGCWTCCAGCAAAACACTGATTGATGAAATGTGGCTCACTGGAAATGTTTTCTCTGCTTTATGACAATTCAGTGAAATTAATATTTCTAAACTAGTTTGAGGATTCCCTTTTTGATAAATGAAACTATTAAAAAAATTATATCAAATAATAAATACATTTAGGAAAACAACAGCTACAAAAACATTGTATGCAACAAAAAAAATAC